CCTCCACGACGACATCCTCATAAACCAGCTATACCCCTTTCGGATCTAGCCACCTCGCAACCTCGCCCACAACCCCCTCTCACCCCATGATAACTCGCACCAAAACAGGAAAAACTAAGCCAAAAGTCTTCCACAACTCAATTTCACCTACCGAACCCACCTCTTTTACCATGGCCAATACCCAACCTCAATGGAGGCAAGCTATGTGTGAGGAAATTGATGCACTTCTTACCAATGGCACTGGGACTTGGTACCTCGCCCTCAAGCTCCTAACATCATCGATTGTAAATAGGTGTATCGGATCAAACGATTCCCCGACGGCTTCATTGATCGGTACAAAGCTCGTTTGGTAGCTAAAAGATTCCATCAACGTTCGGTTTAGACTATGCCGGCACCTTCGATCCCATGGTAAAACCAAGCATAATCCGTCTCATCTTGTCATTGGCAGTAACCCATGACCGGCATATTGAGGAACTGGACATTTCCAATGCCTTTTTACATGGCAAGTTGGATACTCCGTTTATATGGAACGTACCGCAATGATTCATTCACCCTCGGCATCCAGATTTTATGTATGCTTTAAAAAGGTCTCTTTATGGCCTTAAACAAGCCCCTAGGATGTGGTATACAAGTCCGAGTTCAGCACTCGTAGTATGGGTTTTGTTGGTTCCAAAACCGACACATCCTCGATAATATACAATCATGGCTCGGACATCGCCTACTCGTTTTATTTATGTAGATGATCTATTACTCACCGAAAATAATCCCAATCTCATTAGGAAGCTTATTTCCGGACTTCAGCATCGGCTCCCTGTTTAGTCCCTCGACTATGTGCATTATTTCCTTGGCATAGAGGTCACTAGGACCAAGGGAGGATTACACTTGTGCCAATCTCGGTATATTCGGGATCTTATCAAAAGAGCAAATATGCGGGATGCCTCGCCCATGGTCACGCCCGGCGACTTACGTTCCCCCATCACGTACACTATTGCATTTGACAATCCCATACTATTTTAGAGTATTGTTGGTGGGCTACGTATCCGACCCTCATGCGGCTAGATGTATCATTTGCTATCGGTCGTGCCGCTCAATCTATACATGCCCCCACCGTCGAACAATGGGTGTTAGTCAAGCGTATCCTACGCTATCTTAAAGGCACACAAACTCATGGCTCGCTCCTCACCCCTTCCTCCTCTCATCACATCTCTCGCATACACTAATGTTGATTGGGGGGGTGACATCATAGATCGAAAAGCACAATAGGATATGCAATCTATCTTGGTAACAATCTTATCTCTTGGATTTCACGAAAGCAAAGAATAGTAGCTCGCTCTTCAATCGATGCGAGTACGGGGCCTTGGCTACAACGACCTCTCGAGGTCACATGGCTCCAATCCCTCTTGCGTGAAATTGGTTTCCCACTACAAACCGCACCCACACTTTGGTGTGATAATCTGTCGCCTACCTACCTAATTGCCAATCCAGTCTTTCATTCTCGCTCTAAACATTTGGAGATTGACTTCCATTTTGTTCGGGAAAAAGTTCACAAAAAGGAATTACAAGTGCGCTACATCTCCACTAAAGATCAACTAGCTAACATCCCGACTAAATTCCTTGCAAAACGACAACATCTTCATCAAGTCATCAAGCCGACCGTGCTTCCAGCAGCTCAGCTCGAGGGAGATGATAAGGATTAGATTTAGTCAAGATAATCTTTAGAAGTTGTATCCATTACAATAACCTATTGTATAGTCATCTTTATCTCCGTAACTCGAAACTCTATTTAAAGAGTTTCCGTAGCATATAACACATGTAAGATAATTCTTTGCAACTTACTCTTTGGATCTTTATCCGTCACTTATTCGTGTTTACTTAGCCACCAGCAGATAAATTGTAAATACTAAGAAAATTTCCTTTCTCCGTAGTAACGAACTTACTCGCTAGTAGGAAAGGTTTACTTGCGAGTTGGACTAGTTTTATAATGGTTATTAAGTCGATGACATATCTTGGAATGCCTTTATTTAAAGGAAAAGCTTGAGTTGATTATTTCTCTAAACCGAAGCTAAAATTGAGGTTGAAGTTACAGCTTGAAAAGGCGGACTTCTTTCGACTTGGGGAAACTTTAATCCAAAGTGTTCTCTCCTTCATTCTTATGTATACCATTGGGGGTGCTCCCATTACCGGAGATGGTGATAACAAGAATTTAGGGACATAACTTTAATTTCTTTTGGAACAATTAAGAAGACAACAGACATCACTAGACTAGTCGGAAAGCTATTTCATTATCGATACAACGAAGTTGGTTTGGGTATCGAAACCTTTAGGAGGTATTGAATTCAATGACAAGTAAATTGGCTTGGTCATTCTTGACTAGTTCATCTCTATGGAGTTGCTTTATAAGGCTTAAATATAGGGAGCCAGGCCAGTTGATTTAACTCAATAATAAAAAAGTTCATTGGTATGGAAAACATTATTTCAACATATTATTTATGTGTTGGATCATTCCATGTGGATGGTGGGAGCCGGTGACATTAGTTTATAGAGAGACAAATGGTCACAACAGATTTCCCTCCAGCCTTCGAGTGACCAAAACATATGGTAGCTAAGGCAAAGCAAAACAGATCCATCCAAATTTCTCTTCCTCCTTTGATATAGACTGAATTGGATGCTATATTTATCCAAAACATATGTAGCGGTTTATGTAGCGATATACTTAGGGTAGGAAAGAAAAACAAAAATTGTCTGCAATGGTTTCAAACTGCTGCAAAGTCGTTACATATGATCCTAATATGTAACAAATTTTGAACTGCTGCATAATTTTAAAAATGCAGTACTGTATTAATAACAATACATGTATAAGTCATGTCGTGCATCTCACATCATATCACCTCGCCTCACTATCAAAATGTTATTATAAATAATTAGAATTTGAAACGGAATGAAAAGGTTCACAGTTAAGGATCTAGGATCAAATCGTAAACCCATATTGTGTGTGAATATCACGGCTCCATTTGTTTGAAATCAATAATATTTTAATACTTTGTAAATGTAAAGAGTTTGATTGAGGAATAATCTTAACCATATATCAGCAGCATAAGTGCGACGTGATATTTGGTTGGCATGGTCAACATCATGGTTAGCCTTCTTATCCATTGACTGGACAATAGGTTGGGTGGTAATAAATGCATAATAGTTAGCTTGCAGTAGCACTGACTCAAACAAGAAAATATTAGTATGTAGTAGAATCCTAGTTTGATTGAGGACTCCAAGGTTGCAAGGCCATCGTCGTGGCGCCTCCCTGCCAGGGCTGGCTCAAGGCATAGGCCATTAAGGCCTATGCTTAGGGCCCCCATAGAAAGAAGGGCCCTAATTAAAATTTTACCCTAAACCTACACTTTAAAAGAATGAGATAAATTAAAAGTCAGTAGCCTCCACTTTTACTTACGTAAATGTTTTAGAAAAATATTTGTGATCGAAACAATTTTAAGATCTCCAATTTTTTTTATTATATTCCTTTCTTTCTCCAAACAATCGTGGATCTTTTATAAAACTTTTTCTAATTAGCTTGGCGTAAAAATCGAAGGTAATTTTTTAATTTATGCAAATAAAATTATGTATATAAATCATATAATATTTTATTTTTTTCTCAATTTTTTTTTATTTTCTCGTGTGATTCTCTCTAGGTTTACTTGATTAGGCGTGGCAAGCAAATATAATCAGGTGCCAAAGTTTCTTATTTTTTTATAATTATATTTTAATTTTATTATTTGAATAAAATGTCTACTAGAAAGCATGAATCTGGATATGAAAACGTAAGAAAAAAAGAAAGATAGAACAACTAATTCAATCCAAAAAGGTGCACTTGATAGATTTGTTACTAATATTAAACCTCAAATACTAGAAGAACAAGATAAAGATTTAAATGAAAATATAGTTGAAAATTGTGAAGAAAAATTTGAAAATAACAATTCAAATTCACCAAAAAGTAATGAAGAATATGATGAAAATTTAGAAGATGATGTTTCAATCAATAAAAGTGAAAATATTAATGATGAAGATGCAACAATAATTAAAAATATTTAAGATCCAGCACAATGAAAAAATTTAGACTCAAAACTCGATTGATTTATTAGTTGAGAAAGGTCCAATTAGAGAAATTTTAGATTTTCCAAGAGATAAAAACTCTAGACATTTTTCTACAGCTTCATTACATTCGATAATTATCAAATGGAGAAAAACATGATAGAAAATGGCTAGTATATTCAAAAGAGTTAGATAAAGTGTTTTGTTATTGTTGTAAATTATTTAGTTTGAAATCAAATATTCAATTAGCAAATGAAGGGTGTGAAGATTGAAAAAATCTTAGTGCCAAACTTAAAAGTCATGAGACAAGTAATGAACATGCTATTAATATGAACATTTGGGTTGATGCTGCAGATGAGATTGCTTAAAAATAAAACAATTGATAAGCATTTACAAGAGAAAATAAATAAAGAGAAAGAGCATTGGAGGAATGTATTATTAAGAATTATTGCTCGTTATAAAAGCTCTTTCGAATTAAAAGTTTTAAAAGAAATTATAACTATGGAAATGAAAACACCACTTGCCATACTAAATTTTATAAAAAAGGTAAATTCTGTTCTAAATGCATGGATAGCATATAGAATACTATTAACTATCCATGTTACTATAGCTTTGGCCTTTGGTCGAAAGAAGTTTTTCAAAATTAAAATTAATAAAATCTTATTTACGTTTAATTATGTCACAAGAAAGATTAAGTAATTTGACTATATTATCAATTGAAAAAGATTTGCTTTGTAAACTTGAATACAAAAATTTAATTAGAGATTTTGCATCTCGTGAAAGCAAGAAAAATAAAATTTAAATAATATTTAATATTTATTTTTTTAAGAAAGAGTCTCTAAAATATTATTTTGCCTAGGACCACATATATTATAGAGTCGGCCTGCTCCCTGCAAATGTTTTTCGTGTAAAAGAAGATGTTCGTCCGATATTGTGGTACACAATTTATCTCAAGTGCCATGCTTATCAAGTAATTGATTTGTGATTCACTTTGTAAAAGCATATTTTTCTTTTCTATTCCTTTCCTTTTCCAACACATTTGACATTTCTAGCCAATGATTGCAGGGCTAATCGTCCAAAGAGCTACCTATCAAGGACAACAGGCTGGGACCAGAATCCTCATGGCCGATGGGGTGATTCTCATAATCCATCTTATGGTGCTTTATCTGATTATCAGGTACGTATATTTACTAAATTAGATTCTTTAGTTTTTTTTTCCTTTTAGGATATTTTGAACTTGATCTCTTGTTATGGCCATCTAGTATGATTTAATTCTTTTGCAATCTAGTTTGCTGCAGAAATAACTAACAAGTTTGAGTAGTTATCTTTTGAATGTGAAGTGTAACAAAGTATATTGATGCATTTATGTTGCTTTTGCGTACGTTCTATCATATAAGCAATGTAGAAGGCCCATTGCCGAGCCTTCCCCGTTTTGTGTCATGTTTCTTTTTACCATACATTCTCACATCAGTAATCTAATTGATATATCGGTTTATTTGACAAAACACAACTAGGGGTTTTGTTGACCTTGAAGGAAAAAATAGATAGATGTGAAGGTTATACATTAGGTAAACGAAGGTAAAAGAGATAGTTATCAGCAAAAGTTGGTAGCATGTGGGTTTTTGGAAAGTCTTGAGAGTGCTTCTGTAGCATTTATTTATAAAGGAGTTGAATCCCATTCCTTGTGATCATGCAGACTAATTGTGTGAAGAAAATCAATAGCAAATTTACGTAGCAACAAATTTAAGATTTTTTAGGTTGGATTGCTGGTTCTTCTCCTTCTCTTAATTTATAAAAAAAAAATTACTAGCAGGAGAATATTAAGTTACAATAAGGAGAATAAGTTACTGTTTTAGCAGCCCAAAGTTCCTGGCCACACTTCCGGAACAAACCTTGCAAAGAGGACACATGCCCAAATCTCAATTATCTGTTGGATGAAGAGAGTTAAGGGCGAGAATGGATAGAACAGGAATGAAGAGATCTTTTTATTTGACTTTTCTCTTTCTCTTACATAACTCCTAAATGAGGACAAAGGTTAAATTACTTGTGGTTGCAACAGTCCTCTTCTCGCGCTGCTTTAAGAAATTTATTGTAAAGAATTTTAGATTTTACGTATTCTGTTTTTCTATACAGTTCTTCCGACCCCGGGCAAGTGGCAAGAAACTTGTTCAAGAGTGGGTTGTCCCCTTGAAAAGTGTTGAGGATATAAATGAGGACAAAGGTTAAATTACTTGTGGTTCATGTTTTCTCATAGCATTCAGTAACTCCGATGTGTAAAGTAAAAGAGGTTTATGAAGTAAACGTGCAAAGATAACCTTGGGGATCTACTATATGAAGTGACTAGAAAAGATTTGGACTGCAGTAGACTTTTGATCTTGGTTCGGCAAAGAATCTAAGGTGAAAATGGTCCTCATATCATTTGCCTTAGCATGATTATGGAAGGCACATATATATGACATCTCTGACTTGATTAACCCGTGCCTCATACACCGTGCAGGTTGGGGAGGGCCAGGAGGTATGTATATCAGAAGGCTTATCTAGAGTTTTTCTGCTCCAAGGACAAGTTGAATGCTCTTGTTGACAAGTGCAAGGCTTTCCCTTTCGTAACTTACATGGCTGTGAACGAAGCAGGGAGTTGGATATCTAATGTTGCCTTGACTGACGTAAATGCTGTAACCTGGGGAGTCTTCCAAGCAAAGGAGATTATCCAACCAACAGTTGTGGATCCTACCAGCTTTAGTGTGTGGAAGGATGAGGCATTTGAAATCTGGTCAAGAGGATGGGCTTTTTTGTACCCAGAGGATGACCCATCCAGAACACTACTTCAAAAGGTAAATCTCTTCATAATTACGAGTCTCTTGTGCACATATATGTTCTATACATTCATGCACACATTTCATGTATGTTCTATACATTCATACATCCATTTTTTCAGGTGCAGAGCAGCTGCTTTTTGGTCAGCTTGGTAGATAACGATTACATCCATGGAGGATATTTTCACTGTCTTTGCAGAATTATGAGGCTGTGTGCTCTTTGCAGCTTCCTCTATTCGCAAAGAGTCCATCAAAGTCGCACAAAATGGTGCTTTATCCGAAATTGAATTCTACCTTTATTCTTCTTATTGGCTTACGATGTTTTCGAAATTTTTTCCTTAATGATGTGTAATAATAATTCATTGGGTATTTGCTACTCTCACGAATATGGTGCAAATTGTATCTGGAGTAGCAACTAATTTACCAAGCCTAAAGAAAATATGATTGCCTTTTTTTTTTTTTTTCCCTTCTGCCTTACTTCTTTTCAATTGAGCTGCTGGCTTCCTTTTTCTAGTTGTCTCTTGAGATACTAAAGAACTTAGCTTTATAAAATTACTGCCAAACTAGTAGGGTTTAACCCCAAACAGCACACAGATTTGCAGCTCCCGACCACCATCACCAACCAGCCGGCACTCAAAAAAAAAAAAAAAAAAAAAAAAGGCAAAATAAAATCATAAGCATAGAAATTTGTCCAGTAAAACAATCAACTACAAGGGCTCAAAAATCAAGTGCAAACTGAAAAAGGTCCGTCGGTGTTATAATAAATTCATCCTTCGAAACTAGCCAAAATGGATAAAGAGGATTCTGGAAGGAAGAAGAATCACGCAATCATAAAATACTTCACTAATTTAAACAATTCTGATTGCCGGAAACTTTCCTAGATCCCAATACAACCCAAAAATTAAAAAGTGATATGTTGTTACATGTTTGCACAAAATGGTAGGAACAAAGGGGATAAAATCATTTACAGGTCCTCAGCACGGAATTTATGAAAACCAGAAGAAGGCGTATGTCTGCTTAGGCTTCTGAGGCAGACGTGCTGGGTAGACTCCTTTCTGATCACTATCTGATAGACCTGACCAGAATATTGGTCTTAATTGCACTCAACCATTGTATCCACACAGTTCATGGCAGCAGCCACATGTCATTCATTCCAACTTTCTAGAGCTTTCCATACTCATATCACATGCCAGTTGTTGTAGAAGGGCCAGGAGATCTCTTGGCTCAGAGGTAGCGGTAACAGGGGCAGTATCGTCTGTAGATCAACTTGAAAAAACGAGCAAACATAAATCATTGTTCATACTACAGTATTTTGAATAGCTTACTGTTCATGTTAAGTACTTGATATATTTGAATTTTTATGCTACAGATAACGGATCACCGTCTGATAGACCTGACCAAATACTGGTCTTAATTGCACTCAACCACTGGATCCACACAGTTCATAGCAGCTCTTGGCTTAAAGGTAACGGTAACAGGGACAGTATCGTCTGTGGATCAACTAAGAAAAACGAGCAAATTTAAATCACTGTTTATGCTACAGTAATTGATATATTTTACCGTCAAGCTACAGTATAACGGTGTATTCTTTGTAGCCTTTCGTTAAATCATGGAAGAAAAAATCCGCTTCAAATATTAAAATGGTGAGTCCATGAGAAATAGTTTTGGTTTCATTGAATGATCTGATTGGTTCTTTAACTGATTTGTTTTTGGAACCTTGTTAATGGAAGGTTCTCCTAAACGATATCGATTTGCTTAACCCAACATCAGAGCTTGAGAAGAGGAAGCACAAGCTCATGCAACTTGTTCAGTTCCCAAACTCTTTTTTCGTGGATGCGAAGTGCCAGTGTTGCTTCAACATAACCAATGTTTTTAGTCACTCGCAAACTGTGGTGGTGTGTGGGAACTTCCATGCTGTGTTGTGCCAGCCAACAGGGGGTCGTGCCAAGCTTACTGTGTGGGATAGCGAGGAATTTGGCTTCATTATGTTTGTAGATAAAACGGAGGGGAAGAGTGCATCAGCGTTTGGAGATTACTAACATATTAAAAAATTTCAGGTACTTTGTTTAGATGAGTGCACAGCCAATGTTGACACTCAAACAGCTTCAGTGCTGCAAAAACTTTAGATACAGTTTCATTTCTAGTTCAAATTATATGAAGAGCTTTTTAACATATTATTCTCTGCTTTTGTAGGTTGAGCAAGGCAAACCAGGAGCTCTTTTACATCATGAGTCCACCATATTTTCAAGTTTCGCTAAAGCTTCGACAATGTGATCACCTAACAGTTGCTATTTGCATATCCAACAGGGGTGCTCTTTCAGGAAGAAGAGCGAGTGAAGATTATCATAATTTATTGTCTCTTTAAATCTTCTTTCCCTGATTGGTAAATTGCTCAAGAGTTCTTTCCTAGGCAGGATGATGATGAATGGAACGGCGGTGCGTATTTTGATTTTGATGTTTAACTTCTTAGGTTATCTGTGAGAATATATATGAAATTTTGCATTTGATTCAGTGAGAAATGTTTTGAATATCAATTTAAGTTCATTGTTACGTGAGAATATGTATGAAATTGTGGGATATTAACTTATTAATTGGTTTTGAAGATTACAAGCAATTCGCGCACTTAATCATACCGTTGGGATCCGAGAATCTTCTTCTTATCTGTGAGTAATTGGTCTTGTTTGATATGTGTGCATAATCTTACTAGGCTATGCATCTGAGGGAGCCAGGATCCTCACCCCAAAAGTGGGCTCGCACACAGGTAGCCGCTGGGACCAGGGTGGCTTTCTATCATGATGAAATCAAACTTTCTCTGCCTGCAATCTGGACACCGTCACACCACCTCTTGTTCACTTTCTTCCATGTTGATCTTCAAACAAAATTGGAAGCTCCAAAACCAGTACATTCTATATCTGTTTTCTTTCCACACACAAACACACATATATGGTTTATATTCAACTAATCGACATTCAGCTTTATACGGGTGGGTGACAATCAGTTAACATGAAATGTGACATATTTCAAAGAAAATTATCTTAGCAGTTAGCACTTCCGTTGTGCTGAGCATTCTGGCTACATCTTCCATTCACTTTTCAGCATTTGTGGGATGAAATCTGAACGAAAAATGTATGATAAAACTGGCTTACTGAAGATTTACTGTAAATGGAAACATTGAGCAATCAGATATTTGCATCTTAATATCCGTAACTTGGAAAATTAGCGCTCCTTTTAGTATAGGAATGTATTTTGTTTTGAAACAAAATCCCAAATTCCAACCTTCTGCTCTGTTATTACTGCTGGATAAAAGACAATAAAAAGAGGTGGAGAAAAGTGACACCGTGTGCATATGACTTGAAACCCAACCCAACCTAACTAAATTCTGCTGGGGTAAATACTACTTTCATATGCATGCAGCTTGAAATTTATTGAAATAGTTTGGTTACTATGTAGGCAAAACTATTTCTCATGCCCTTGAAAAATATTGCTTTATCTTCTGCAGGCAAAACATCTATTGAAAAGGTGTTTCTCGTCCTAACAAACAAAAAAGTGCTGTTATAGTTAGTGCTATGGTCTTATTATTCTTCTCTATTCAATAGTAACTTAGTGGAAAAGCATATTCTGATGCATTTACAACACTCCGGTTGTATAGATCTTTTAACAATTTCTCAAAATAAGAACTTGTTTTCCATGATAATCACTTAAATTCATTCTAGTTGAAACTAAGTCTTTTAACTTACGATTTATAATTAAAGGAATGTGCTACATTCTTGCAAGACATCACTGCATGGGAAGCGTTATTTTCTGTTGTGGGCTGTCTACTGAATGTTACTATAATTCCTATTTTGCATTAATTTTGCATTAATGTAGAGTTTGAATTTGTTAAAGTCCATTGCTTGTTATGGTAGACTTCAAAATATATTTTGTTGTGAATTGACTTTATACCATTTCTCTTTCTAGGTGGTGATTGGATATGCAGTGCTTCCATTGTTAAAGTCCATTGCTTGCTATTCTTCTCGTCTCTACTTTTTTTTTTTTATTGAAATATTTCAGTTTAATTTAACTTTTTTATATCTTATTTTTATTTTAAGATATAAGAAATTTATTTATTTATTTATTTCATTTTATTTTATTTTTTGTATTAGTAGGTGTGATTTAAGGATCTAGTGTTTAGGATTTTAGAGTTTTAAGGTTTAGGATATAGGTTTAGGTTTTGAGATTCTAAGGTTTAAGCTTTAGAGTTTAATATTTTAGTTTAAAGGCTTTAGGTTTTAGGATTTTAGGATTTAGGATTTAGTTAGAGATTTAGGATTTAGGTTCTAGGTTTTAGGATTTATTTAGGGGTTTAGGGTTTATTTTAGGCTATTTGAAAAAACAAATAAAAGTTTCTCGGACCGGACAAACAGATTTTGGATCTCCCGATAAGATTTTTGAGGTATAAATTTCTCTCATGATCTTTTGTACTTTCTAACTAGAAATTTATTTATTTTTTAATGTATCTAAGGCGTTAAATTTTTTGAATATAGAGGATGAGATCAGCAAAACAAAGCTTGATGATGTGAGTGGAGAAAAATTCGATGCCTATTCTCCTTAAACGTCAACAAAATCCAAAAGACTCGAAGATGCATCAAAGAATAAATTGGCGTCATTGGTATTTTTCTCATCTCAACTTTTTTTTTTTTTGTTGAAAATCGTTATATTTAAATTTACTTTTATATCTCTTGCTTTTATTTTAAGCATTAGGAAAGTAATTTAATTTTTGTTTTTTGTATTAGTAGGTGTTATTTAGGGGTTTAGTGTTTAGGATTTTAGAGTTTTAGGGTTTAAGTTTTTGGATTTAGTTAGGAATTTTGGATTTTATGGTTTTGGATTTAGTTTGAGATTTAGGGTTTTAGGGTTTACAATTTATTTAGGGGTTTAGGGTTTATTTTAGGTTGTTCGAAACAACAGATAAGAGCTTCTCGGATCAAACAAGCACATTTTGGATCTCTTGGTAATATTTTTGAGTTATAAATTTCTTCCATGATCTTTTATACTTTCTAACTAGAAATTTATTTATTTTTTAATGCATGTAAGTCTTGTTAAATTTTTTGAATATAGAGGATGAAATCAGCAAAAAAAGCTTGATGACTTGTGCATAAAGTGAGTGGAGGGGAAAATACCGATGCCTATTCACTTAAAACGTCAACAAAATCTCGGACTTGAAGATGCATCTAATAATAAATTGGCGTCATTGGTATTTTTCTCATCTCTACTCCCCCCCCCCCCAAAGTGTTATGCTTGATTTAACTTTCATATCTCTTGCTTTTATTTTTAGTTTTAGGAATGTAATTTAATTTGTGTTTTTTGTATTAGTTGGTGCGATTTTGGAGTTTAGGGTGTAGGTTTTAGGACTTTAGAGTTTAGGATTTTAGGCTTTGAGTTTTAGGATTTAGAATTTAGTTAGGGATTTACGATTTAGGTTTTAGAATTTTAAGGTTTAGGATTTAATTAGAGATTTAGGATTTTAGGGTTTACAATTTATTTGTGGTTTAGGATTTATTTATGATTTAAGCTTTAGAGTTTAAGATTTTAGGCTTTAGGTTTTAGGATTTTTGGGTTTAGAATTTAGTTGGAGATTTAGGTTTTAGGATTTTAGTGTTTAGGATTTAATTAGAGATATAGGGTTTATTTTAGGCTATTTTTTAATGCATCTAAGGCTTGTTAAATTTTTTGAATATAGAGGATGAAATTAGCAAAATAAAGCTTGATAATTTGTGCATAAGTCTGAGTGGAGGAAAAAAATTCGATGCCTCTTCTCCTTAAACTGCAACAAAATCCAAAAAACTTGAAGATGCATCAAAGAATAAATTAGCGTCATTGGTATTTTTCTCATCTCAACTTTTTTTCTTGTTGAAAAGCGTTATGTTTAAATTTACTTTTGTATGTCTTGCTTTTATTTTAAGCATTAGGAAAGTAATTTAATTTTTGTTTTTTGTATTAGTAGGTGTTATTTAGGGGTTTAATGTTTTGGTTTTAGAGTTTTAGGGTTTAGGTTTTTGGATTGTTGGATTTAGGATTGAGTTAGGAATTTTGGATTTTATGGTTTTTGATTTAGTTTGAGATTTAGGGTTTACAATTTATTTAGGGGTTTAGGGTTTATTTTAGGTTGTTCGAAACAACAAATAAGAGCTTCTCGGATCGAACAAGCACTTTTTGGATCTCTTGGTATGATTTTTGAGGTATAAATTTCTTCCATGGTCTTTTGTACTTTCTAACTAGAAATTTATTTATTTTCTAATGCATCTAAGGATTATTAAATTTTGAATATAGAGATGAAATCAACGAAACAAAGCTTGATGACTTGTGCATAAGCTCGATGTAGGGGAAAATTCCGATGTCTATTTGCCTAAAACGTCAACAAAATCTAAAAGACTTGAAGATGCATCTAATAATAAATTGACGTCATTAGTATTTTAGAGTTTTATAGTTTAGGTTTTAGGATTAGGAAAGTAATTTAATTTTTTTCTCGTATTAGTAGGTGTTATTTAGGGATTTAATGTTTAGGGTTTTAGAGTTTTAGGGTTTAGGTTTTAGGATTATTGGAATTAGGATTTAGTTAGGAATTTAGGATTTAAGTTTTTGGATTTTACGATTTTGGATTTAATTAGGGTTTTAGGGTTTACAATTGATTTAGGAGTTTATGGTATATTTTAGGTTGTTCGAAACAACAAATAAGAGCTTCTCGGACCGAACAAGCACATTTTGGAACTCTCGGTAAAATTTTTGAGGTATAAATTTCTTCCACGATCTTTTGTACTTTCTAACTAGAAATTTATTTATTTTTTAATGCATCTAAGGTTTGTTAAATTTTTTGAATATAGAGGATGAAATCGGTGAATCAAAGTTTGATGACTTGTGCACAAGCTCGAATGGAGGGGAAAATATCGATGTCTATTCTCCTAAAACATCAACAAAATCCAAAAGACTTGAACATGGATCTAAGAATAAACCGGCGTCGCTAGTATTTTCTCATCTCTAATTTTTTTTCTTCAAAAGGGGTATGCTTGATTTAACTTTTGTATCTCTTTCTTTTATTTTAAGTTTTTGGAATGCAATTTAATTTGTGTTTTTTCTATTAGTTGGTGCGATTTTGGAGTTTAGTGTGTAGGTTTTAGGATTTATTTAGGGTTTAACTTTAGAGTTTAATTAGGGATTTAGGATTTAGGGTTATAGGGTTTAGGATTTAGTTAGAGATTTAGGGTTTATAATTTATTTAGGGGCTTAGTTTTATTTTAGGTCGTTCAAAGCAACAAGGAAGAGCTTCGAGATCGAACAATCGGATTTTGAATCTCTTGCATTTATTTTAAGCTTTAGGAATGTAATTTAATTTTTGTTTCTTGTATTGGTAGGTTTGATTTAGGGTTTTAGTGTTTAGGATTTTAGGGTTTTAGGGTTTAGGATGTAGGGATCTGGTTTTAGGATTTTAGGGCTTTGGAGTTATTTACAATTTAAGCTTTAGAGTTTAAGAATTTAGGCTTTAGGATTTTTGGATTTAGGATTTAGATTTTAGGATCTTAGGGGTTTAGGATTTAGTTAGAGATTTAGGGTTCACTATTTATTTAGGGGTTTAGGTTATTTTAGGTTGTTCAAAACAATAAGGAAGAGCTTCTGGACTCGACAAGGAGATTTTGGATCTCCTAGTAAGATTTTTGAGGTATAACTTTCTCTCATGAACTTTTATACTTTCTAACAATACATTTATTTATTTTTTAATGCATGCAAAGCTTGTTTAATTTTGTTAAATATAGAGGATGAAA